CTCCAGGCTCCGAGCTGTCAGCACAGTGCATGACGCTGGGCTCCAACTCACAAACCGTAATATCATGCATGACCTAAGCGGAAGTCAGTCACTTAACTGACTGAGCCACCCAGGTGCCCCATCAGGTATTTTAATACACATTTCTCTTCCTTAAGACATAACTTCAGGAAAGAGAAAACATAATCCAAGGCCGCTAGCATTAAAAGTAAGTTCACTGCTGGGGCACCTGGGTGGCTCAGTTGGTTAAGCATCAGACTTTGGCTCAGGTCATGATCTCACAGTTCAGGGGTTGGAGCCCTGCACTGGGCTCTGTGCTGACAGCTCAGAGACTGGCACCTGCTTCAGCTTCTGTGTCTCCCTCTCTCTCTGTCCCTCCCCCACTTGCGCTCTGTCTCTCAAAAATGAATAAACATTAAAAAAAAATAAAGTTCACTGCTTATTACCAAAAGCTACTATACCAAAATTATTCAAAATTTCAAGAAGGAATATTCATTAAACACATACTTTGGCCAAGCCACAAGCCACCCAGGCCATTTCACATAATCCTCACAACTTCCTAAGGAGATGGTACCCTACTTTTCTTCTAACGCATAAAGGAGGATGGGGCACCTGGGTAGCTCAGTCGGTTGAGTGTCCAACTTCGGCTCAGGTCATGATCTCACAGTTCATGAGTTCAAGCCTTGCATCAGGCTCTGTGCTGATGGCTCAGAGCTTGGAGCCTGTTTTGGATTCTCTCTCTCTCTCTCTTTCTCGCTCTCGCTCTTGCTCTCTGTCCTTCCCTGGCTCTGTCTCTCTCTCAAAAATAAATAAACATTAAAAAAAAAATGTTTTTAAGAAGAGGCGGCAAGGTCCTTTGATCACTCAACTATGACTATAAATGGAAGAGCCAAGAACTGAATTCAAGTCTGTCTGACACCTTTCTATGATGTCCCAGGACTTTCTGAGATATGAACATAGCAGGAAAGAACTTCACTGTTTCTATGAATGAAACCAGGGTTTATTTAAGAAAAAAAAAGCAAGGCCTAGGAAAGTGCTCCTTGAAAACCGTTAGGTTAACTCCACCCTCCGTCTGTAAATGTTCACTGAGGCAAACACTAATTTAACCACCACTAAAATACAATGTGACATTAGTGTCATTCTTGGGCAGTTTAAGACCATGGGAAAGCTGTAAAGACACAGACTAGCAGTAGGAAATAAACCACTACATCCATGTTGTTATAAAAGATAGACAAGAACATATACTAAGTTCGTTTAGGTTTTATTCCTTTGTTGATGCTTACGTTCAATTTTTTCACTGGTTAAAATTTACAGGTCATCATCATCACCATCATCGTGGCTAGCCATTAGTTAGTTGGGCACTTATTATGTAAGAAGTCTTTAACATAAATTATTTCATTTAATCTTTACCACCTACACTAAGTCATAAAGTAGGTATTATTAGCCCCATCATTATCAGACAAGCAAGATACACACAAATACAAAATGTAGTGTCAGGACTCAAACCTAGGGCTGTCTGACAACAGTTCCACTGGTGATTATTTCTGAAAACATGAAACAAGGTGTAGTTTTAAAAAACTGGATATTTTTAAGTGGGGGGGAAAATACCCTCTCATTTTCTGATTTAGTTATCTCTATTTAAAATAGGAATGAAGGGGTGCCTAGCTGGCTCAGTCATTACAATATGCAATTCTTGATCTGCAGGTTGTGAGTTCAAGCCCCACGTTGGGCACAGAGCCCACTTAAATTTTAAAAAGCTACAGGGGCACCTGGGTGGCTTAGTTGATTAAGCATCCAACTCTTGATTTCAGCTCAGGTCAGGATCACAGCTTGTGGGATCAAGCCCCATGTCATGCTCTGTGCTGAGTTTGCAGCCTGCTTAAGATTTTCTCTGCCTCTCTCTCTCTCTGACCCTCTCCCCCACTAGTGCACTCTCTTTCTCTAAAAATTAAAAACAAACAAACAAAAACTTCAGTAATCAAAGACAAATGGTGTAAAGACAAATGAACAACGGAACAAAATAGAGAGTGCTGATATAGAATCAGGTATTTTTAAAAATAAGTAAGGAATGAAAATTGGATCTGTCATCACTTGCTTAAAGTGGGCCCAGGAAACTCTATTCCAGGGATTTTGGACTCTAGTGTGGGAATGTATGAGGAAAAGCCTCCACAGTGGAAACAGAAAGGTTAATAGGACATACCTCCTAGTTGCAAAGAACTGAAATCCAGGAGCCACTTTCAGACAGTCACCTCGGCCGGGAATCAAGAGCTCTCCGTTCTCCAAGAGAGGGATCAGCACAGAAACCTAAATCACAAAACCCCACTGATAAAGCTATTAAAGCAACAACAACAACAATAAACCCTTCTCTCCAAATGATGAGCACATCTGTAAAGGAAACCTTAATTCTCATAGCATGAACTGGGTCCAAAAGGCAGGCAGGAATGTCTGAGCCACCTATACTCTGACAGAACGATTTATTCATTCAACATTCACTAAGTGTCTACGATAGACTAGAAACAAGCCAGACACTAAAAATCCAGGCATGACTGAGGCTTTACAGCCGAGCATCTGATGGAATAGCCATGCAAACCACCATACAGCATGACCCCAGAGCTGAAGATAGAGGGTGGCTATGAATCAGAATGGAATGGTGTAGAAGCAGGGCAGTGAAGCCATCCCAGAGGTAATGATATTCACTCAGTCTTAAGTCTGAGCAAGAATTAGCCAGGTTTGGTGGGAGAGAAATGGCACAAACTAAACTCCATGTAAAAATATTCAAATGGATAAAACTCTTTGTTCCTAAGAGTATGTCATAAAAGGATTCTGTTGTTAGGGCAGAATGTGCATATGAAGTAGTGGAAAACTACAAAACTTAGAGATAAATGACTAGGGGTCTCCTGTGCTGACTAGGATACATCAAACTTCTGGCTTGCTAACTGTGGCAGAAAAGGTTGTTCTGAGAACGAGCAGACAAGCTCCATTTTGGACATCTTGAACTTCCACCAGCTAAGGGACATTCAAGTAGATATTTCCGACAAAAAGGTGGACTAGACATATGGATCTAGGGAACATGAGTTTATACAGGAAGTTTAAAAAGAAAAACCAAAGTAAGAAGTCCAAAGAGTCCAGTCTATACAAAATGGGACTCAATGTAGAATTTTATGATGTTTATCAAATATTGGCAAAGGGAGACCAAGATAGAAACTGTCAGTTTGGTCTTGAATCAGGACCTGGTCATCAAGGAATATAATTAACTATAGGACAGGGATGGATCCCTAGGCTCCATCATGGCCTGGATGGACTATCTCTTATGTTCATCTATCTTCTTTGGTTCTAATTCCACAATCCATAATCCTAATGACTTCCCAGGTACCCTGGTATCTAAAAAACATGCCAGGGAAGACAGCACTAGAAAATGAAAGGCCTTAGTTTTGGTGTGGAGAGGAGGAAAAAAAAATGAAGAAGAAAACAGAAAAGAAAGTGAAAACCCTCAGCAAATATTTGGCCATGTAGCTTATGTTTCAGTTGTATTATTAAGTCTCATTTGTAGGAGTCAGCCTTAGCTCTGAGCTTATTAAGAAAACTAAGTTTCCGGTCCTATAAAACTGAGCATTAAGACCTTAGGACATGGTATGTCAATGAGACTCAAGAAACAAAACAAAACAAAACAAAACAAAACAAAAGGGAGAGAGAGAGACAGAGACCCTAGAACATGGTAATCATATTATGAGGCCCTACCTGGGCCAGTAATTCCATTACATCTTTACTTCATCAGACTGTAAAATCATCGCAATACACATGTATTTATAGCTACTCCTTCCCCTTCATATTTTCCTAAACCTACACATACAAACACACACACACTCTCACGTTATTCTCCTATCCAAAAGGTACTTTAGGTTCATGATTAAAAAAAAAAAAAAAA